TATATATATATATATATATATATATATATATATAATAAATCTTACATATAAATCTTAAATTTCAGATATTTTTCTTAAAACACAGAACAGTAAAAAAAATATAGAGAAAACAATGATCTCTACTACTTAGGATGATAAAAAGTTTTTTTTTTGTACTTGTGCATAGTACTTGCTAAACATCATAGAATTTCGTACATGGAGAGTGTAAAAAATAATTTTTGTAGGTTTTACATATGCATTTTGAAATAACAAAAAATTAAAAGTTACTATGCGGATTAGTTTATCAGGCTTACCAACTTAACTGTATTTTGGGCTAAAAAATCTCCTTTCAGATCAGCATATTGCTTTGATCACCACTCTTCAAACTCTGCAACAGCAATAAGTGCTTTACCCACGTAAGTAATTTTTAGGAAGGCTGACAGAATTACATAATTAAAAATGAGTGCTTTTGATTGGTTATAAGTATATAATTGAGAGAAGTGGGTATAGGTAAACAAGTATTTTCAAAAGAGGAAGAGGTGGGTGGAGCCACTGTGGTGGGTTTGCTAAATATAATATCTCAGCAAATAGAAGAGGTTGGAGGTTCTTATTTTATATTCTAGTTTGTCAATATTGGTAATTTGAGTTTCTAATTCATTAAAAACTGTAGACTTTACATTTCATGATGCTCACAATACAATCTGAGAAAATACAGAAGACGATGTACCATGTGACACACACACACAAATCAATATTTACCAACTTATTTTTAATATCTATTTTTAAACTAAGAAATTAAACAATGTCAAATAACAAAATTGGAATTACAAACTACAATTTGATTCCAAATTTTTGAATATACATTCATAACATAGTAATTTAATCAAATTTTGAATGTAAGGCAACAAAACGTGATGACATACACTTTGACCCCGACCTGTATGGAAGAGGTTAAATATACTACCTTTTATTTCAGACTTAGCAATTTTTTTTATCGTTAATCAAAAAGTTCCATTTTATGCATCCAGTCAGTTTCAGCTCACTTAGTATTCATTTATATGCTTCTTTTCATATTTTATTTTGACAATTGAAGCATCACTTCTGGATATAATTCATAAAAAAATTGGATAAAGATTTTTCGGCAACCTAGGACCTCAAATTTAAAAATGACATCACCTTTACCTTTGTTGGGCATAGTATCATGATTTTATGATGATAATATTCTTAGTCAAGATCAATTTATTTCATTTTCAATACACATTAAGAATTTTATTTATATGTGTTTTTTGAATGTAAAAAAACTTAATATATCCAAAAAAGGATGGTTTCATTCACATAATTTAACTCACTTGATAAACTTAAGTACATAATATTAAATTCTGATCAGACATAGCTACCTACTAAGCTTAAAACAAAAATAAACTTAGTAATGAGTATAGCTAATTAAATATGATTTTTTTTACATACTTATAAAGATGCCTTCTCCATTATCAATGTTTGTCTGTAAACCCAATTATATCTCACAAGCTTCGGCCACTTAGGATATTTAGGTTAGTTCTAAATCCATGTACTAAGCTAGTAATGCAAAATAATCTCTATAATAAAGGTACAATAATAAAAAAATTGAAAAATAATAAAACTTTAACATATTAAACATTCTATTCAATATTTCTAATCAAAGTAACATTGCAGAAAGAATAAAGCATACTTCACTAACAGAACACACATACTTCAGTTGTTAGCTTCATTAATTCAATATTAACAAAATATAAATCTGTAATTATAGGCAGAAGTTACCTTCCAAACTGAACAAATGTATTGTCAGATAAAAAACACAGCCTGCAATAATTTGTTTAATGTAAAAATATGGTACTTTTTATATGAGAGACACTGTCATAAGAACAACTGCATTTAATATCTTGTCATAGAAGAATATTACTGTAGCTTCCAAACACATATAATTAAAAAAAAGCATTTTTAAGGAAGAAAAAGAATGTCAAAAGAAACTGTGTGGTTTGTTCCACCTTGTAAGCTTTACATTAGAGTCCTTTGTTCATCCCTATAGGAGATCTGGGTAGCTAATACATAAACAAACCATAAATCACTGCTAAAACAATCTTGTTTACTCTTTATTAATTTAGATAAAATCTCTTCAATGTAATCATTTTCGCAATTAGTTCCACCTATTTTCAAAGCTTTACTTCATTTGTAATTCTTCAGATAGCATGCTGTGACATCACAACAGGGTGGCAACAAAGAGCTGTAGTAATAAAATCATGTACAGAGAAGGAAAATCATGTGAAACCAAGACCTGGTAGTTTGTTCCCTATACTTAGTTAATAAAGTCAATGATTATATGCATGAATCCTCAGCTGCACAGAAATGAAAGTTGGAACATTTGTTTTATTAAAAATTAATGTTATATAATGCTAAAACATTAATTCTAAAATATGTTTGAGTAAAAAAAAGTGTTGAAATAGAATTAATTTCATTTCTTAATACAATTTCTTTTGAAAGTGTGAACTTGAAAAAAAAAAAGATACATGCTGATTATTAAAGGGTTAGATAAAATAACCATTCTCATTAACAATATTTTGCAAATCAGGTAATTAGATTTAGTTGGACAAATTCACCTAGAACAAATTTCTTTCACTTATATTACAAATGAAAGTATTTACAAACTTACAAGATATTTAGACTATCTTTAAAAATAAAATAAAATGGTCATTTATAGGTTGGTTCACTAAGCCTCTTATGCTTAACTTGGTACCAATAATAATAATAACACAATCAAACTGAATTACCGAGTTAATGTTTGAAGGACACTCTTCGCCTGTAGCTTTCACAGGAATGTCTTCATACTTGTCAAAGTTGATACCAGTATGATTGTTACCAAACAGCTGCCTAAAATATACGGAAAAATAAACAAATCATTAAAGCAAATTATCCAAGTAACTACGTTTACTTTGAACAACTTGGTAACCACGTTATATTACCAATTCTTATACATATCCATTCAGTTACCACATCAGTCAACAGCAACAGACTTAAATAACAATATAAATCTTCCACAGCAGCACACACGTACACACAGGAGTATTTTTCAGGGTTAGACATAATATCATAAAAATACTTTTGTATGTATGTAAAAAATATAAAAAATGCTATGCCTGGATACCTTTACTAGTTACTGTTAAAGAAACTGTATGTACATAGGTAAAATACACAAGTTTCCTGCAAAGTTCAAAGGAACCTCTCATGATTTACAAAGGCCTCAATGTATCAATCAAGCTCTTGCATTACCTTTAATTAATTCTGTAGCTACCCCAAGGGGTATCTAAGCACTTGCGCCAAGTTTGTTTCTGCTAACAACACAGTTTTAAACAAGGTATTCCAAGGACCTTTTTTTGGGGGGAGGGGGCATGACATCCAATGCAAGATTCAGATTTAGTGACCCTGAAAACCTACTCCTAGACCCCCCCCCCATTATGCCTTGATGACATTCCACTTAAGTATTAAATTTCTTTTTTCTGTACATACTTTATTTATTGTTATAACAGTAATGAAATTACAAAAATTAAGAAAATTATTATGTTAAATAAAAAACCATAAATGAACAAAAATTGAATAAAACCTTTCTGAGATGTATGCATGGAAGTTACATATACTTTAGGTAATTCAATACTTTGTTTTACCACTACTTGAGCTATTTTTTCATCAAGTGCTCATAATGTTCAGAAGTTAGATGTGGTTCAAAGAGCAATAAAAAATCAAATTAAATAAAATCAAATGCAACTGTTACGAGTCTGAGGCTGTTTAGAAGAAATAATTTTCTGTTACAATCTACAATCATTCTAGAAAGAAAAAAGGGTATTTTAGATCTATTTCATTTTTTTTTGTGGTGGTTACAAGGTTCGTAAAAATGGACAGAGCATGTCTAGTGTTAGGACAGAGAAAATATCAAAAAAACGTTTTACTAAAAAATATAATTTTGATATTCATTTAAGAGGTTCTGAAGTAATAGAAATTAAATTTGAAAGATGTAACATGCAAAAAAATATTTTTAATCTTAACATAAAAACCACCTTTTACTCAGACTAGCGAGAGCCTGAATCAGACAGACTCCATAAATTCACGGAATCTTTAGCAAAAATACTTAATAAAAATTTGTTTGTTTTTTCGTGTACAAAAGACTTGTAATGTTCACTAAAAGCCTGACAAATTTTGTGAAGGTACACTTACTACATTAAAAGTTATAGTATGTATAGTTTTATGGTCATATGGTGGTTAAAAAGTCAATCACAATGACCGAGCCAGTAAACAAAATGAATAAAGTATTTTATTGTCTATGACAAAACATGAAATTTAATAATGCCACTAAAGAAAAACGAAGACTACTAGAAAACAATTCATCTGAAAATTTAATAAACACACAACATACAAAACAAATGCCAATAACGAACCTCTCCATGTAATCATCTTTAGGCAAGGGCCGACTCCAATCAGCGTCATCGTAATCATTTCTATGAACCCCACCATTTCTTCTGACCCATGTACCTCCTCCATTTCTATCCATATGGCCTGCAAACTTCTGGACACTTTGTGGGTCATACCAGCCACTGTGGCTGAAAGTGTTACTTTGACATATAAAACTATCTTGTAATAATTACTGCTTAATTCTCCTAAATACAGATTAAACAGTACTAAGACTTAGATAAAAAATATTGCTGCAATTAAATGTTTTTTTAACTGTGACACATCGAGGAAGAATCCCTTTAACATCCTTTTTATTCTAAGCAAACATAAATTGCTGGTTATTATCATAGGATACTATTGTAATATTTGATTATCAAAAAAAAAGATTCTAGGTTTCCAAAATCAAGTAATGTGTTGTACCCGATTGGGCATTCAAAGCAAACTAAAAAATTTTTAATTTCTACAAATGAATTAATACAATTAAAAAAATATATAAAACTGGACAGAAAATGAATGAAAATTTCAATAAACTAACAGATAAAGCCAACGATTAAAGCAAATATGTTAGTAATGACTATTTTTAATCTTACAATCTCAATAAGTAAAGAAAACTTGTAATTTACTCACAAGCCTACATGTTGTGGAAGTAATGTCCCAATACAATTAGTAACATTTGGTCTATTATTTCTGCTTCCAAAATTTGAAAAATCAACACATCCTCTGTTCCCACCTGAAAATCAAATCAAGTTTTATTAGAACAACAATACAAAACAATCCAAAGAATATCTGATGCTAAAAATGGTTATATTTCAGTCTCATGTCAAAAATTTCCCTAAGAATAATATTTTCTGATTACAGTTTGTTAATCACAAAACATATTTTTATAACATCAATACAAGCTTCATGCAATTCCACTTTGCACTGAATAAACGTTTGAATTCAAGTAGAGGAAACACAGGTGTGGAAGTACAGAAAAGTAATTAAAACTTAAAATTTTTGAAATTTTTATATATATATATATATATTTTTTTTTTGCAGTTGCATGTATACATCACATACACAAAACAAATATACATATACAACCTACAGAAACAAACACACACTATGCATAATCATTTCAAAAAAACATAATTTTACAAACAAAAAGTGCAAACACAAAATTAAAGAACTTTTTCAAACCAAAACAAAACAGACTATATGCAAGAGCCTTCTGCCCTAACTTCCTTCAAACCAAAACTAAGAAAAAATCCCAACTACGGCCATTTGGAAATTAAATGCAAGTACAATTAGGACTGAAAATAGAAGGCATTTCTTCAACCCCTTCATAACGTGTACCCTTTTAAACACTTTTATGTGCAAATCACTGTGTAACATTCAAAATTTAATTAAACATCTTTACTATCAAATGTATGTGAATGAAACCAATATTATAATATATGTTATGATTTGAAGTTTTATGTTATTTAAGTCTCAAGTCCTTTATTTGAAAAGAAACCTTTCAAAAACTACTTAAAACTTCAGATGTATTGTCATGTGACCAATGAGCTATGAAAATTCTCTATTTTGGCTTTCTGTATCATCAATAATACAATGGCAATTGCATAGATGTATGTCTAGACTATAAGATGCGTAGATAACCTTTTGACTCGAATATTTCAAAGTTCTCTAATTTACATACATTAAAGACAGATTCCTCTGACTGAATGTAGTTGAAACAAGTAATAAATTTCGTTGTCCCCTGACAGTTTTCATGCCAACCTTCAACAGATCTGTATCAGCTTTATAGCCTACATGTAGAGGTTAGAAAGAGCTCATTATGTACTATAATCTAACAACAGTAATTTTGTAATTGGCACGCAGTTAGCATCACAAATTTCAAGGAGATAGGTTGTGTCTTAAGTCTGCTCGAAATTTAATATTTTCTTAGACCAAAATACAACTTAGTTACTAAGCTTGATAAATTATAGTGGAATTCTATGGTATTGATATAG